GAGAAGTGACACCAAGTGTCAGAGCTGCAGCATCCTCTCTGCATCCACTCGTTGGGTGGATCAGTGTTCCGCAGCATCGTGCGTCCGTGCATGCGTGCGTATACGCGACCCGCATCTCGGCGGGAATACAAATCAATTTCACCGCAGCGCAGCAGCGGAGGGCACTTCCGTATATACGATCGCGATCGTACGCTTGGCACGTTAATCGTAAATGAGAATCGAGGCTCCCCTCCCCGCCGCAGGAGGGTGGCAGAAAATTACATTCCGCGCGGGCCCCGCGAGGATCCCCTTGGAAACGCGCGCGGGATGATTGGTCAACGCGACCGGCAAGGATTGTAATTAATTTCTCTCTACGCTGTTCGGGAATATTGCCTTGTCCGATCGCCTGCAGTATTTAGGTATTTAGTCGAGAGGAGGACGAGGAAGAGAAAGAGCGAGATTATATCACGGGCCGAAAGGGGAGGGAGGGAGGGAGGAAGGGGGTAAAAGGTAACACGCTCGGGGGCGTGTGTGTGTGTGTGTGTGTGTGTGTGCGTCTATGTGCGACGAACGATCTTCTCCCCCTGCACGCGCGCGAACAAGCGGGATATATGCTCCCCCGTTCGACGACACTATCGTAATCAGTTAATTTCCGGGCGTTAAGCGGTTTCGTCGGCCGGCGAACTGGCGATATTCGGGACGACGAGCGCGAGATACCCCCCCGTGTATGACAATTCGGCTGCGGCAGGTGCGCGGGATAATCGCTGGCAGTGCTATCGCGATCAATTCCTTCCCAGGGAACTGTGGAGGGTTCTTCGCACCTCTTCGTCGTTCACACGGGCATTTCACAGGATCGGCTACGACACGCGAGCAGCCCAGAACGCGAGAAGAGGAATCGAAAGCGATTACAGATCGATATACGGTACGTCTCAGTCAGCTTGAGGTATACCTCTGGACTTCGTCACTGTCGCGTGTTAAACGAGATTGGAATTTTCTTTTTCCCCTTTATCAATCTGATAAGATTAAAGAGATTCGAGAGTGAATTAGAGAGAGAGAGAGAGAGAGAGAGAGAGGGGGGGGGGAGTGCAGTATTAGATCTTCCGGTACTGTCATTACCGCACCTTGGAAAGTTAAAAATTTGATCTTGATAATTTCGAAAAGGCAACTAAAGTTGGAATTAGATTCCTAGATCCTTATCATTGTTGTATGTACTTGATATGAAAACCGGAAACCGGGTCGGGCAGTATTTGTGCATAGGATTAATCAAATTGAAAATTCGGCATAGTATTGTATTTGAAAATATTAATGCCCGATTTTATTCGGAATATCCAAAAGGGTAAAGGGATTAAAATCATAATCAATTTTGTGGTCATTGACTCTCACATGCGTGCGGATGAAAAGCCTCAATATTTAAGTTAATTGCATTATAATTAAACAAATTTCGTATTATTCCGCTGATACTGCGCATTGGCACCCTATGACGTCGCACGATAGCACGCAATAACGCCGAGAGTTCGATTGATTCTAATGCAATTAACAGAAATATTAGGGCGTTGCACTCGCACGATTGTGAGAGCGCGAGCAGTATATCTTGCTTTCGTTTCGTTTCGCAGATGTTTTATTAAATTTCATAGCGACGGCATCCTTCGCCGGTAATCGATAGGTGACACAGATATTCTACTGAAAAACGTATCGGAGATATAAAAGATAAACAACGCGTCTTGGGTGGAAACACTCGCGCGATCAAAGACGACGAATACGCGCGGCGTATCACGAGCGAGTCTACTTTTCGTTGGTACAGTTAATTAGTCGTAGCAGTCCGAGGCACACGCTCGCACAATTCTATCTGTTTAATCTATCTAATTACTCCATGACGAAACGTAATGAAATTATGAATGGATTAAGCGGCGGTGCGACAGAGCGTTTCCATGCTGCTTTAATTAAGTCGCGTGACGCGCGCGATTTCCGCGAGTCGAGCCACCCTTCACCGAAGAAAAAGAAAAAAAACTTTCGATTATCAACGGCCGCGTAATTTTTTCACAAATTTTTCCTGAGAAACTCCGAAGCACGCGGCAAGAAGGATGGGACTTGTTTTTTCTTTTTTTCTTTTTTCTTTTAGCGATACTACTGCTGTATTTAAATTCAATGTCACGCATGTATCTTTGAACACTTGGATTATTTTAATCCCCTCGCTATTTCCGACGTTGAATCTATTTCGCGAACAAGAGCGCCGACGGAGGATTACGCGATTTCCCGGTTGTCTTGAAAGCGCGCGATACGCGTATACAGCGGGAGATCGAAGGGCGAACAATCGCGGGCCTCCCCTCGTCCAGGGGGTGCGATTCGCGATTTGATACCGTCAAGTGTATATTAACG